CCAGCCAGCCAGCCAGCCAGCCAGCCAGCCAGCCAGCCAGCCAGCCAGCCAGCCAGGCAGGCAGGCAGGCAGGCAGGCAGGCAGACAGACAGACAGACAGACATCCAGACCGACCGAGACAGACTATTGACATCGTGCGTGTGTTCTTCCGTGTGCACACACTCCGTGCGGGCGGCTTCGTGCGCGAAGCGCTGTGAATTATATGGACATTATATAGGTGTATTCATGTTTGAACTGCATCCTACAAGTATGCTATAAGCTACATCTGCAGATTGCAACCGCGGTGACTCAGCTAATGGGAATACATCTTTTGCATAGGCAATCACATTTTTGCGCTACTTGGGCCACAACTTGTTCGAGAATCAAGACTGGCGCTCACTCATTCATCTATACAAACATGTGCAACAGCCTTGAAGCCACCTGAAAGGTCTGTCGGTGTATGATTGTTTTTTGCTTTAGTCCGCAGGTGTCATGCAGCACCATGAAGCCCAGGAGTTGAGAATCATAGTTATCATTAGAATCATTAGGCAACAAGTTAAAGATCTTAACTGCCAGGCAAAAGCCCAGCTAGGAATCCTTTGGGAACTTGGAGTCGGCAGGCTTGAACTCAATTCCGAAAGCTTCTGAGATCTTCTGAGGGATGAATTCCATCCTGGAAGCCCAGTCCCAAGCAGAAAACAAGTTCTGGTTGTTCCAGTATGGTGCATCCTTGACATAGGAAGTGCTGAAGTGACTGGCCACTCGAGAGTCCACCCAGACTCTGCTTGGGACCCGGCTTTCCAACCTCCAACAGGCGCGGTCCGGTCCGGCCTCACCAGAGATGCCCGTGCTTCCGAAGCCACCAGTGCCACGCAAGGTCTCGTCCAAGGACCTTGGGTGAGAGGCAAGCAAATCATTGAAAGGGTACACATCCCTGAAATCGTCAGTGGAAACCCGCCACTTTTCCACCAGGTCGGCTTCCAGACCCCTGATCATCCGAAACGTTCGGCCAGGCCATCCACTTCCGTGATGTACAAGCGGTTTCAACTGCTATCCAAATGGCACAAGCTAGACTCTTTCTATTAATGAGCACCATCGCATCCATAAAAAACGACTGGGTAGCAGTAGCTAGTGCCATCAACTCTGAGATCCACTGTAGTGTTTCATCTCCAACCAATCTTTTGCGGTTGTTTCGCACATTCGGCAAACCAAGTGGCGTTACTATGTCGATCTTTTTCTAGCGCTCCGAAACCCCGTGCGAAGCTGAGACGCTGAGACGGCCCAGCTCTTGTGTGCTCGATTTCTGAAGACGGATGAGACACACCATGAAATCTGAAGACGGTGTGAACAAACAAATGAATACAAATGGTCGGCATCACTTTCTTTCGTCTATAGCTCGAAACCTCACCCCCGGGTTTAGCCTTCCTGAATTTTATGAGTTGTCAAAGCCAAGAGCAAATGCTATGGGCGGCAGTAAACTCTCTTATGGTGTCCATTGGACGCAGGGATTGAGATGTGTGACTGATTACCCATGCTCTTGATGGACTACGTTTGCTGCACCAATCCCAAATACCGTTGTTGATCGTGTTTGTCTGATTTTTTTGGCGTATTCCCGTGCTTCCTGTGTTCCAGATCGCATGTCCACAATCAGCTCTGCACTATTTAGTATCCAGACTAATTATCCAGCACTCCGAGTTGGATTTCGCTGCTCCAGGCGACATCAGCAAACCATTGAAAAGCGGTTTGAAGAAGATGCCGGAGGGATTGATTCGTTCCAATCCAAGAAAACATATCACCTCTTCGGTCGAATTCTTCATCACTTTTGCTGGCCGAGCAGCTCAACCTCTCGGCATCCGGCCATGGAAATCTTCCTGGACGACGGCATGAAACCGAACCCAGGCATCTCCCAGTCGCGGAGAGAAAAACGACTCCAGACTCGCCCGAACGGCGAGTAGTGTTCGACACCACTGGTCAATTGGGGACAGGGCGCGGTCCAGAAAACATCGAGGTTGGATATGGTTGGATTGGTTGTGGGCAGCAGAGTCTTTTGACGCAGTTGAGTCTGCATGGCCCATGCAAAATGATACCAGCACCCGACTCTGTAGACCTCTCCTGATTCGAGGGTGACGTTGGACCTGGGCCAGGTCTCAATGGGTGACTACTTGTGAAATCAGGTGCTGGTAACCTGATACCGGATGGTTACCGGACCCCCAAACCACCCCAACTGATCGGCAGTCCTATGGCAGTCCCATTAGTCGTGTCTGGGTTCTGTTCAACCGGTCAGGAGACCCCCGGTGTGACACACGCAGCCGAACACACACGTTGCAGGCGACTGGACCCCCGTGTGTGACAAGCCCCACGTTTCGTGCGGATCGCGCCCTTGGCGGTCCAAGGCGAGCAGACAAACACATCGTGGGCATGTTCGGCGGCCTAAGAAAGGATGGTTCTTCCTTAGATACTTGGGTGAGTGATGCCACATAGTCTTTGGACTTCCAAATAGGATGAGGATCCTGCTCAAGTTGGGGTTCCCACTACTTGGATTTGCCGTCCAGGAAGCGGGACAAACATACAAACCTTACAACGTGATCCCTAGGGCTCCAACTATATCCTCAGAAGGTGGTTAGACCCCCCAAACCCACCCCAACCACCTTCTCAGGAGGTGGTTGGAGCCCTATAGGGGATATTCCGCCGTTTCGGGGATTTACCCAGGAACCGCGACACTAAGGCCCGATCTGCACAACCCAGGACTAACCCCAAGTGTTGTGTTCGATGTACTATACCTCAGGGGTCAGGATATGGTCAAAACATGCTAAAACCCTTTGGTCCATGTCTGTCAATTTCTCGTGCGTGCGTTCGAGGCTCTCGAGAATGAGATACGCCACTTCGTCGCCGGCAGTGACTGAGAGCTCCTGAAAACATCGCTTGGAGAGCTGCAGGTCTTAGAGGACCCCACATGACATGGGTCCTTTCCTTGAATAAGGCCGTCCAATGAAATGAAACCGTCTACACATGTGATTGTCCACTTTGCAAGTGTTACAAGGAAATCAAACTGGGGATCTCCCAGTATACACGCTATGCGCAGCGACGATTGTGTTTTTTTACTAGACTCGATTACGACTATCTATTATGCACGGGCGCCGTCTCGTTTAGACTACTGTATACTTTAGTAGAAGATCACAGTATCTCGTTCAGACTAGTGTCATCAAACAAGTATCTGTGGATCTTAAGTCCACCCCGTTAACCGCTCGGGCAAACTGACTTCTTCCTTCCAAATAAAATGACATTTTTACTAACCAGTATGTTTTGCACGCGGCACAGAGCAAGCAACGGCGTTTATGTGCCGGCCCATCTCGTTCACCAGTGAATACTGATGTTGGGCAAACAAATAGAGCATGCCGTAGACTAGTTTACATAAAAGTGGTTGCTCATATGAACTTCCATGTGTCTTTCCTGAAGGATGCACTTTGCCCTTTATCCTGAAATACCAATCGGGTTTGTGAATGAAACCCTCCAACAAGAGAGGTCACATATCAGGTGTATTCTGCTGGGCACATCCTACTTATCCTTATTGAATTGCGAGGGATATGAGGGGGTCATGGGGAATTCAGCCAGTGGTACCTGGGGCAGCACGTCTGGACCTTTCTTCGAATGGAGTGGTGAGATATGGGTCATGGAAGGGTTCTCAAATCAAGGCAAATTTGAAAGAGGTCCAGGTGTTTCTCACCAGGTGCGCGATGATTTACCAGTTGCAGAAGACGTGCTCCGCCAACAGTCCCCACCTTTGGTATCAAATGGAGGAAGAGAGCATCCGGAGCAAAAGAACACATAACAACAAATGCCGATCATCCGAGCCATAGCGTCCAGGTACTTCTTCCTTTTTTGAAGTATATCAATCAACACCAACAAGTCTCCAAAGCACCAGAGAAGGGCGGGGTACTTCTTAGTTGTTCTTCCCCTGAAAGGTCTCAGTTTGTCCCGCGTTTGATTTTGCCTCCTGGTCCTGTAAAGTCGGGATCACCGCCCATCACTGCCCTCCTCCTCCTCCTCCTCCCACTCGTGTTTGTCCGCCACCAGGGGCTCCTCCGGTCCATGATTGAAGAGAACCACACCCACCTGTCAGAGGTGCAGATCTGGAGTGGGAATCATCCGGTGGGGCTCCGGTGCACAGGTAGGCTGAAAGAACACCTGTACCCGTCGGGTGAGAGATGACCTGGCACCGGTCTATGCTGTTCGTGTGAACACCATGTCACTAAATGTAATAAAGGATTGGATTGGCGAGAAACGAAAAAGGTAGGCTAAGCCCTATGCAAGTCCCCATGTGACGACTAATACAGACTCCTCAAAGAGAAGAGGGAACAAAGCTTCCAGGGGACAATCACAGTGCCATGTTTTTCGATATGTTGCTGTAGTTAAGCCTTAGACCCACTCTTAGACCCATACTAGCCCAGCTCAACAGAATGGACCCTTGTGCCCATTTGGTTCGGTCTTTACCTCAGCTCAACCACTCCCGACCGAACCTCCCGACCGCCTGGGCCTCACCAGTCCCCCGCACTCCGCACCTCCCCGCGGTAGTCGTAGTCCACCACTCCAGCGCCGGTCTGGATCCTTGGAGCGGACGCCAGTGAGACCGGTCGGACCGGTCGGTGGAGTGACCGTCATGGAGTGACCAGAATGAGGAACAAACTGAAGAGATCAAACCATTGGGATTTGGTGCCACCGGCTCAGGTGAGTCACTCTAACTTGAAGACATGGTTCATTTCGGACATCGGTGGATGTCGAAGCTCCAAACCACCCGGCAGCTCCACCAAAACCGGATTTGGTCGTAAAATTGGGAAACCATCCCAGGCGTCCCGGCCCCCTGGAAGAAAAACAACAAGACCGGTCTAGCCATTGGGCCAGGGTGTCTCCCTATTTTGAAAAGTAAACACACCCATTGGGCCGACCCCGGTCGCCCAGTGGAGCTGGGCTCCGCAATGGCGGGTCACCGACGGATCAAAGCGCATTCTCGACTGGCCAGTCTTCAGATCGAATTGAGAAAACCGGGGTCCGTCCATGACCGAGGTCGGAAGCAGACGGCTTCTCGTACGGAAGCAGACACCAAACGCATCAATCCCTGCCAAAGCACTGAACAAATGGTGCACCCCGTCGTTCCAAACGTGTAAAACATGTGACACAAAAACAATCACATTCTACCAAGACCCTTGGCTGCTATCTGTTTCCACTCACCAGTTTGCCTTGATCGTTTAGAGTCGCGAATCGACGGCTTTTGCTTCATTCATCGCCTGCGGGCTGGGTTTCGGCTGTACAATCTCAACGACCACACAACATCCTTCCGTGATGCGGGCGATATTGGAAGGGTGTGAAACGCATCCACAGCGGCAGGGAGAAAAGGGAAAAAAGAGCACCGTGAGAAAGACACTTCAATCAAAGAATGATCCTCTCAGTACAGTATTTCATAGAGCATCCGGCTCTACGTTCGTCTCCGACTACTGATTGCTGGAGAGTTTCTGAAGTGGCAGGACGTGGTGACCTGTTTATCGTCGGGTGCTGTTGATTTCCCTTGACTTCTCAGGCCGACTGTGATGTCTCTTGAATCTTGAAAACTGCGTCAGCTGCTTTAAAGGTGGTTGACTGGAAGCTGCGGAAACTACGAACCTCTTGGTGAGATGGGAAAGGGCACAACTGTCGCTTTGGTTTGGTAGATGTGTGCACCCCTGTCAGACCCTCCGCAAGCTACGCAAAGCGCAATAAAACACATTGAAAACCTTTTGGGCCTTTACAACTTCCGCTTGCTTGCTTGCGAAGCGACCCAAAATTAAAATCCCACTCATCGGGAATTGACCTCCGATCGGCTCGGTGAACACCTGCTTCTCCGCACTGTGGAGTTTCTCCATGGTCAAAAAAGACCGGGCAGATCCGAGGTGTTCAAAAGCTCATGAGCTCGTCCACCACCTTGGATGTGCGGTTCCCAGCCACTGTTTAAAGTAAAAAAGATGTTTCTCCTTAAGAAGCTCGGGGATACCTGGTGAGTTACCCAGGAACCGGAGAAAACATAGGGCAAAACATGGCAAAACCCATAACCGCCTGGCGGGCCACGGCCTGGTGGCCTTGAGTAGCTGCTAAGGTCACAGGAAGGTCGCCACGAGCATTGGCAATGGAACGGTCAGCTCCTGCGATGGCACGGTCAGCATCCGCCACCGAGCCGGGCCGGCTGTTGGGCGGTCGGTGCTATCCAAACCCATGGAAGTCAAGTCGACCATGCTTCAAAATGGTTGACTCTGGTTTTGTAGTGACTCAAACCCTTAGTAAAACAATGGTGGTTCGGGATTCAGGCTATTAAAACAATGGTGGTTCGACTTCTATAGGGAAAATGTAGTAACTATCATGTCCGCCCAACATTTGCCGAGAAACAGTGGTTTCATGAAAAAACCTAGCAGCTTAGCACCTACAGACATGAGATACATATACAACTCATTCTGAACAAAGCCACGTTTGTTTGAGAAATTGTCCACATCCGGATTCTTTGAGGGTCCTTTAAGAATGAAACTGCACATCCTTGAACAAACTTAATTGTTCTTGACTGCTAAACAAAAACATTCGGGCACTCTCACAATACACACTGCTGGTGTTCAACAGTCTCGCCATCGGCATACTCAATTCTTTCAATGCTGGTCATCAGAACATCATTGCACGCAATCATCACTTTCAAAATTAGACTGTATAAATAGATGTGCAAGAAGATTTTGAGCAGTGTCAGAAGAAGAAGCCCTGTCCTTCCACTGGTGCGGATTACATTACTATATCAGACTTTGCACAGTTGATGAAACACAACGGATTGCATCGGAACTGAAAGTGAATAGGCTTTTGAAATCAAACCGCCTGTTTTGTTGCGTGTTGGACAAAGCAAAGACTATGCACATGTATGCGTGCCTGCATGTTCTTGACAAGTGAACACATTACAAAGATGACCATGTGCACTCAATGTCAAACACGTACACTCAAACACTTTCAGATCAAACTGGTACAATGTCCCTAGATGCAAAATTTGTGGTAGAAGTACACCATGATCATAGGTACAATGCCCTGGGCTGTGTAACTCTATCCCTTGTCAGAAACAGAAGCATGGGCCGCTCCTGCGAGCAGAAGGCATCGAGTCAAAGCATAATCACCGAAAAAGGCTGCCATCCCCAGCGGTGTGATGCCTTCAAGGCTTCCAAACAATTTCCTTGGATGTTGCGTGAAGGTTGGAACCTGGTGTGGGCAACAACTGTTCAAGACTCGTTGTGTTGGAGACTCTGGCTTAGGCTTAGGAGTTAAGAACGCCTTCGCTCATAAACTTACAAGTGTTCATCTCATGTTCACTTCTACTGCGGGTCATTGTGGGTCCCTACTATTCTCAAAATTGTTAAGCAAATCGATATTTGCATGTGAAACCAGCACCAGAAATTCATGTTCGTACAGGACCCTAGCACAAGTGGCTTTGGGCCCGACATGTGGGCCACCAAACACCTGTCCTCCAAAACCGGATCAAAAAGCGATCGAACAAGGTCAGCTGAACACTGTCAGAGTTCGTGGCAGCCGAGAGAGACCCAAAATCTGCGGTGTAGGAGATGATTTGAGCCCCACGACAAACGCATGCAAACATGCCAGAGGTGGAGGCCTTTACATCGACATCTGCTCGATGTGCAATGAGAAGCTTGGCTTTCTCGGCCGACTCCCGTTTGGTATTGGTGGCCAAAATGTGCAAGGGATATAAACCAGCTGAGGATGGGTTGACGTCACAGCCGCATGCAATCATCTCAGCCACCGTTTCAAGGTTCGCCAAAGAACATGTACTCGCCAGGGGGGAATGCCCAAACTTTCCCATGTCTTCCAGGTCTACCTTGGCATGCGCCAGCACACGTACTTGTCCTGGTGATTGAACCTCACGAGAAAGCAGGGTTGGACCTGTTTTTCATAACTTGATCGAAGAAGTTGATCGCGAACGGGTGACCAACCAACGGAGCTCAATGGATCTACACTCCCTGAAACAATCATATACAACTATGGCCCATTGGATTACCATTATCCAAATACCACACAGGTGGTGAACTCCACTTCAATGACTCTTTCAGGGAGTCTAAAATGTCTAAAAGGTGCCAACTAAACTTCACCGAAGAAGCCCAGTGAGCAATGCGGGACCCCAACGGGCTGCCGGCGTTCAGATCTGCTTGGAGCTCGATGAGTGTGGCCAGCACCGAGGGATTTTGCTTGCTTCGCGCAGCGATGATCAACGGTGTATGGCCACTTGGCTGGCTACACACCTTTTCCAGCCCATGGCACCTGCAGAAAACAAGCTTTCTTGTCCAACCGAGACACGACTAATGGGACTGGAAGATGTATACATTGACCCCAGGTCAACCACCCAATGTATCTAAACATGCCACACACGGAATGTCTGGTAATACCCTCTGTCGAATTATAGGCTGCACCTAAAGACTGATCAGTAGAATCGAAAGCTTTTTCTGAACAAAACATTGATATATCACATTGGAGTTTGCTTTCTCTTTGTCGAACATGTCTGGTTGAAGAATGACAGGATGTAATAGAAACTAAAAATATATGTTATGATATGGTTCATTAGCGCATCCGCGTTCATTCCTGTAGTCACCCAAAAGTTTCGTTTCACTCTCCTGCCAGCAGTTTTGGCCGCTGACCTGAGGTTGACATCTGCCGTGCTTTCGACCAAGAGCCGGATCTTCACATCGCCCGAAAGAACCGCGCAAAGCAAGCCTGGCATGGAGCTGGAATCCATCGCGGCCTCACGGAGGCTGGAAAATTGAAACTGCCTCAAGAACTCTTCAATCTCCCATGCTGGGATGACGTCCCGGAGCAGCTTAAATTGCCCGGTCACCAAATAGCGGGAGTAGACCAAAGACCCTGCTTCCCTCTCGTGTTGAATCTTCACTTCAACTGACTTTCGAACAACATCGGCAACCAAACACCGGTCTTCCTCAACCGTGAATTTGCTCTGCCACACTGCGTCCCAATGAATCTTCCAAGAGTTCAGTTCTGCATGCCTTCCGGAATGAATAGTAATGATACTGGTGTCTGGCTTCTTGGACAGTTGATGGCACAGCAATTCAGCCATACACCAGCCACGTGACTGCCAAGAAGTGGAGTTGCAAATCAATCCAGTGTCCCGATGGAAAAGTTCTGGAGCGAGGACCATGAAGAAATCGCACCTCTCCACATATCCTGGAATACTTTGAACCTCATACAGACGAGAGGATTGACATTGGAACATGTTAAAACCCGACTCCACAAACTGTAAAGTGCTAAGGGACAGCATGAAGGATCTTCGAAAAAAAACAACAAAGAACTCAATAGTATCAGTCAAAAAGGGTTGTTGAACTGATCTTTTTTCCGATGAAAGGAACAGCTTTCGCCGCCCCAGACTTGGCCACATCTGATGCCCAGAGTTCTGGAGGTCAGCTGCGGAATGCCAAACCAATGGGCCTCCGGGAGCGAAGCACACGGAGCTCCGCTGTGGCCTTCCCTTCATCCGCAAAGAAGACCCAGCCATCCAGACCTGGGAGTGAAAAGCATCCTGGATGAACATGATCTATGCATCGAGAACAAGAAGTCTAGTAAATTGAATGTAAATGCTATCAATTGGGGCATCGTAAATAGCTCTATCTGATAACTCTATATCAGTCAATTGAATCCAATTGAGACATTGTAAATAGCTGCATGTGTATGTTGTTGTTATTATACATGTTGGGACGGAAAGTCAAATAGACTCCAAAGCACCACCCAGATACTCAAGCGGATCGATCCATCTATGAGACCCTGCAAGGCTTGTTGCAAAACCTCCAACTGGCGACCAGATGGATCGGGATGCAGCCATGAGAGCCACTGATGAGAGATAAAAAGCACGACCATACCTGGCTTCCACTGGTGCAACACGTTCTCCTGCTGCAGGAAAGAGTGAGCTTTTGGACTGCCTTTCATCTGAAGCAAGTCGGAGACCTTCACAAGGTACATGGGAAAGAACATGTCGGCTGCGTCATGCGGCCAGCCTGGCTGGTTGTTCCACCACACACCTGATTGCCCATCAAGTCTGAAGCACGGCCCTTTTTTGGCCCGTTCTGGCTTGAAATAAGTCCTTTGGCTACTTGTTCCTGTGAAGCAAGTAAGCCGAAAGATGCCAACAGCCAAATCATGAAGCAGGGAAAATGAAAATCATGCTGTGCTGAACGGATGGCCTACGAGCATTTCGGAAAATGGATACTGTTGCCATAGATTATGAATCCTTCAGGCCTAAATTTTAGCCTCTCCTGTAAAAGCTGCCTGTTTGCATGTCGGGCTGAAATGTCCTCCCCTCAACAAGGTCACCTCATTGTGATCCCAACAAAAACGTCTCCCAGAAAATACCTCCCTCATCTATCTCTGTCGTCCACGCCGTCGTCCAACCCCGGTCGTCCACGCCGTCGTCGAAACACCCCCGATGACCCCGGGCACATCGGTCCCCGACGGCCCTTCGACGCAGCGTCATGCGCTCGGCCCATCGACTCAGCGGGGCCACCCGCGCGTAGGTCTCCTCCGATCGGGACGCGTCGACGGCCGACCCAGCGGCCCATAGGGATGGTCCCACCACCGGTGAGCCCACGGCCCCACGGAGGGCCAGGCGGTTTGGGGGGAGTGATGGATTTAGGAGATGGTGAATCTTGGTGGAGGGGGCGATGTCTCAGACCAATTTGGGTGTTTCTGTGTGGGTGGGTGTTCAGAAAAAGGCAAGTCAAGTGATCATGTGACATGGTATTGGATTCTTGAAGGCGCCAGATGAGGGGAACCCACGCCATTTGGGAAGCCACAACTATCCGACATGCAATTTGCTATACCGAAACTATCTGAACATGAGAGACTTCCTCATGGCTTCCTCGCTCTGTTTTGTCGTCTGTTTCCTTTCTTGTTTGGCGAGTCCGAAACTAGATTTGCAGCCGTCCAAGCGGTGGCTATTGTTGGTCATTCTCAAGTATAGAGCATATGAACCACTCCAACAAATGCATGAACCACTCCAACACTGACCCACATGACCCACATGGAAAGTCACCGACCCAAATGATTCTGTGCGACATGTCGAAGGAGGACTGTGCTTTTCTAGCTGTGTCTATTCTGGCCGTTGATGCCCTGCACAAAGTTGCACTTGTTGGCTTTTGATTAGAATCATAATGATTCCTCTGCAACCCTTTGAAAAAAGTGCGCAAGCATTCGCATTATGTATCCATCCGTTCAATCATACCCCACTACGACGATAACATATGATTACCCTCTTTTCCACTCTTTTCCAATGGGATGACGATGGCCACCATGGCCACCATGGGCAGCTGTAACTCAGTCCTCAGGAATGGCAATGGCCAGGCCGGTCTTCACCACGCCCTACGCGTCACGCGATGCGAAACGGCGGACATGCCACGGTGGCACGGGAGGTCAAGGGGAACTCCAACACCAACTGGCTGGACCGTTTCTGTGCAAGGGCATTACGGCATTATTGAGGACATTTGAGGACTAACAATGACCACAGTCTATTCCATGCAGGATCAATATTTGTTTTGGAGGGCAAGCGTCCAACCATCAGATCTCGGGGTGTTTGTCCTGCGTCAATCCCGAATTTGTCCTGTGTCATCTAACTCATGGCCAAGCGACCAACTCCAGTGCCCTCCGGGGGGAGAAAAGAATGAAACTGATCTCTTGACAGAGTACCCTCCTTGGAGGGGTATCTATAAGTAGCTCCTCGGACTCCTTAGACTAGACTAGTGACTAGGGGTGTCCAAAAACAGCTACAACTGGAAGTACCCTTTCCCCTGTTCCGGCCCCCCTTCGATGGCTCAGACGCTTACCGCGAGTCACGGCCGCTTACCGCGAACTCGCCAGCTCGAAGTGACCAGGTCTGGAGGAGCAGGACCAGGTCCGAACACGGATGGCACCGTGCAGAGCGACCCCCTCCCGGACCGATCGGCGGTCAAACATCGGTTTGACACCTGAATGCCTCGGTTTTTGGCTGACCGCACATTATTGACCACACGACAATGTGATGATGATTTCATCCTTCGAAGCCCGCAGGACCTTCCAGAAAACCATGTAAAACAACATGAACCACATGGTTTTTGACAGTGAACAGCGGCAAGCCGCACCCACCACAGCAGCGTTGCCGCCGCGCCGTCCCGAACGAACGGCTTCGCACCAGATCGCCGCGTGAAGACGCCTTGCCACCCGCCGGAATGCTTGTGGGCAGCGAGGCGAAGAGAGAGAAACCTGCCTCAGAGCCAACGGACCGTCCCTGGGACCCTTTTGATGATATATACCAGCACGGAAAACAGGTCTCCCACTCTGGAATTCTGGAGGCTTTTGCTGACTTAAGTCGCAGGTGGTGACCTGTTGGAGGGTGCTGGTATATAATATAGTATATATATATATTCTTGCTACTAGTCATGGCCTCCAACCTAATAGCGATGGCCTTCACCGTGCGTAGCATCTAGCTATATACTAGTTTTTTTGGGGGGGAACAAAAACGATGAAAAACGGACTGCCATAGCTCGGATGTACTCTACGAATAGAACTGTTTTGGTTCAAGGGTCTTAGACTCTAATCAGAGTCCGGAGTCATTGCTTCTTTGTTATTTTACTTCTCCAGACATCGACGTATACTCATTACGTAGACTACATCCCAACCACTGTTCTTGGACGACTGTCGTGTTTTGCGTGTAAACACCGTGTTTGCTTCGTTTCGAGTCAGAAGACGGTGTCGAGTCAGGTCAAACACGCCATCCTAAAACATCTTAAACCTTCCAACAAGTTCTCGTGGTCGGCGAACGAAGTCCAACCAGCTATGGCTCAACGCTCTAACACAGTTAGAGATCCTAGGGAACCTAGGGGTTAGGATGGCTAACTGTCAACTTTGTTTTGGGCCAAAAAGGTCTAAGGTTGGGACGACGTAGCTAAGATAAGCTTAAACATAAAACGGAACAAGAGACCGGTTCCGAACGGGACCGGTGAACCGAACCACATGCGAACCAAGGCGACGAATGAGGTTCGTAAAGGGAGCCCCAAATCCCACGGTGTGAACTACTGTGGAAGGTGAACGGGTGTGAACTACTGTGGACGGTGCAGGTAGTTCCTTCACTCGGTAGGACAACCGATGTCATCCGTGCTATTATCTTGCTATACAAAACGTTCCGAATCCATCAGGCCGTCACAGCCGAAGAACGCTCTGGCTTGGCAGGAGTGCACCAGTGGAGCATAATGCTCCCCACAAGTGCAAGGGTCAACGAAAACGTAAGCACACACATGCTTACTTGCATCAAAACAAACTACTCTCTCCGAGTGGAAACATCGTCTTCCAGGCTTTCCAGGGGCTGTTCCACCTCCATGAAAATCGGGGAGTGCCTTGTTTGTTCACCTCCACATGCTTCCACCCTATAAACCAACAAATCCATACAAATCCAACTATAACCGTTATGTAAGTGGTGTCTGTGGAACCTTCGCTCGGACAGCGAGTTCGATTGCTTCGGCCCAACAAGCTCTGGCCCAAATGGACATTGAGTTGACCCCCAGAGTCGCCCAAAATGCGGTCCAATGGTCCAAAACCAAAAAGGACACGCATAAGGAAATGGTCCAATGGTCCAGTGGTCCAATGGTCCAATGGTCCAACCCCCGGAAATCCGTCCGTTCCGACTATCCACCGACCACGTCCCTCTTCGACTAGTCATGGGCACGGGCGTGCGCTTTGGGAGCTTCGCAGCATCGGCCAAGAACTTTGCCTGCATCAGCCTGAGGTGCTTTTTACGGTGATCGAGTTACGTCCATACGTTTTTCGCTGCGTGAAGGCTACCGGCTAGCACTAGCTAGCAGCTGCTTGAAGCATCAAAAAAGCGTCCTTCATGTCCCTCACTGAGCCTGAGCTTGTTCTTTCCAAGGCTTTTGTGATCTCTTTCGTCCCAAACATAGAGGGGAAAACCCAAGGCGATGTGAACGCGCAAGGCTTTCTGGACCTGTGCATCCAGGTCTGCATCGTTGGACGGACTTCAAAGAAATGGGGACCGTCAGTAAGTCCTACAAAATGGGTATATACCTGTCTAACCTGGAGGCTCCAAAGTAACCTATACAAAAACAAACAAATTGTATATGGATACTTTGGAGCCTCCAGGTAGATGTTGGTCTGACCTACAAGTCAACGTTCCACATCCGCTGTGAAGGCTCCGTTTTGTTGGGATCAATTTGGGGTCTACCCCATACCCGTAGGCAAACCGTTTTGTTGCAGATGCCCAATTGGTAGACCTGACCAGCCCTGGCTCCTTCACCAGCCCTGGATCCCGCTCGGAAGCCACGTTTCTCTGCGGGGCTCCCGGCGCGGTGTCGAGGAAGACGGTCGTTCCGCGTCGGGACGGGTTGGCGCGGGCTGAGCCAAAGGGGGGTCACGGTGAGATCGGCGGAACGAGCAGAAGAACACAGAAGAGATGATTCCACCTTCCGGAGAGTCACATGGATTCCAGAGAAACCTCATCTGATCAGCAAAACCAAGAATAGCTAAGGGGAGGATTATAGGAGGTCAACTCGCAAGGTAGGTCCAAAAGGACACCTACCGTGGGGGCCTCCAAATAGCCCTTAGAAAACGATAGTGCACCACCAGCTTTGAGACCTCACGACTGCGCCTCCGTCTCCGACTCACGAGGGTTCCAAAGTCCCCCGGAAAGGCGAAGGCAGATTCTGAACCCCTTGGTGACTTACATGTACCTTGGCTCATCATACTGTGGATACTGTCAGTTTGCATACATTGGATATAGGCTTTTCAAAGCATAGAACTCGCATGAAGGTTTCGTAATGCTTCAATCATGTTAATGTTTTAATAATCCAACCTACAAAGCTCTTGGTACTTGTGGCATCTGCTCGCCATGGAGTCGAGGGACCTTTCATGAGGAGGAGCAGAATCCATACTCCACGAGGAGCAGAATCCGCTCAGCTTGGCGAACGGGCCGATCGGTAGGTATCGAAGTAAGGACCTCAGGGTCGAAAGCATCAAGACCAGCACCCAACACGTGGCAGTGGTTGGGTGCTGGTAGAGTACTGTATATGTGGTCCAAAACATCCCTGAGATCGCATTAAGTCGCTGAGATCTGTGGGCGAGCATCTCATATTACAAAAATGTATAAGAACGTGGCACAGGAAAATACCAGAAACAGATACAACATAAACAACCACTATATAATTGCAACATCCGAGCAAAATGACAGTTTAATGCAGATCGCCATCCCTCAGCCCAAATAGTGATTTTATGTCCATGAACATGTAGAGAGACAGTCATATTGTATAGCAGGTGGACTTGATAACCATCCACCAATATTGCGAATTGTGATCAAACTAAGATCCATTTGCCAGGCACACAGGGCGTGGTGTAACTTGTCCCATCCAGTGAGTGGATGTTCTGGGCAACCCTGACCCTATCCTCCTTGTGTTTGGCACCTCTTTGTGATCTGTGACTCCTGGTGCTCATTCATATTCCCCATGTCTTTCAGTCAGCTTCTCCCCCGACGGCACCGCACCGCTCGCACGGTGGCACCGCGCCGTGTCGGTCATGGTGACGTAGGCGCGTCCCTTCGACGAATGGCTCTCCTGGCCGAGGGCGGCCCACGGAGTCGCCGAGTCGAGGCGAGAACGGTGAGGTCAGTCTTGAAGGTTCGGCCTGGGGGAGTTGAGGATGAATGTGCGTTTCAGGTGGACGGTTTCAAAAACGATCGAAAGTATACATTGAAAGACATAGAAAGACATGATGTGACATGATGCGACCCTGGAGGTCCATGATATGACCCGTGTATACCAGCAGATCCGATCGTTTGTTGCCCTTCATGCTCCAAACATCGCTCCAGCGCCAATCGGCACAGGAAACCAGCTTGCAGGCTGTTGCGTTGGGTGATGACCCGAATCGAGGATCTTGCAACTTCATCTCAAACACAACATGGCACTGGAATTCATATGCCAACGTTGACCCCTTAACAAATGATCCCCAAACAAGTCGTGACGTCACATCCAGCTGGCATGAACACACCGTTCGACCCAACGGCGCCGAAGTTTCGAGGGTTTCATGGGCCGAATGGCCCCTGCTCGGGACGGGCCAACTTGGTTGGAAGGTCAAGCCACTCAAGCCTTGAATCCCCCCAAATTCCCCCAAGACAAGGCAATGTTCAGTTTGTCCACGATGTTCTGAAAGTGTTGGGTCAGTCAAACAACTATCAAGCGGATGCATATCATGTGCAAATTACTTTATATAATTCTTACCTTGTCTGCCTCGTTGGTGAAATTCCCGGTGGCTTTAGCACCTCGCCTCGTTAATGGGCAAGTTGGCACCTCGCCTCACCAATTCTATATAACACCTCCCTCGTCTCCACACGTTCTCCACAGCTCAGAACGCAAACAGCGTTCTCAAACTTTTGGAAGAAATTGGCTGTCAGAAACACCCCCAGGACGTCCGACGTGGCACGGTCCGTTCAGAAGATGTTCCGTCCGGTCTGTTCACCCAGGTCCTCTGGAGTGAACCAGGTCGACGGATTGAGGTCACGGAGCCCCAGAAAATCCCACGTGTTTCGTCCATGCAGCGGGTGCATTGCAAGGACCGAGAGACATCCGAGGAAGCAGGGGAATGAGGACGCGGGAAGGACGCGCATGAGAGATCCATATACTATTAGAGATCCGCCTAGTTATATAGAAGTTCGTAGATGCCCACGTCGAAAAGTATTGGAAACCGTGCGACATCGTGCCACGGTCATCTAGTTGGGGACTGAATTTAGGATCTCGAGAGGTCATGGCAATCGATGTCAAAGACCTCCAGGTCTGCATAGGACTCCGAGTCATGCATGCGTTTTTCCCTGTTAAAACTGCCACCCTGCTGAATAGCATGATGCTATCTACATGAGAGTCCAACAAAGGATTGTTTCTGTTCCGTTTCTTTTTTTTTAAGAGTCTATTTTGTGTTTTCTTCAGACTCCTTAGGCTAATCATTAAGCTTATGCCTTCATTTCATCCCCGAAAAGGGCTGCGGGTCTAGCAGCTGCGTATCAAATCCTCGTTAGGCCGCTGTTTTTTGTTAGGTCTAGACCTGTCAGCAACACCTATGTTTCTGGAGCTTGAAAAGTGTTTTCAACCATCAAAGGTGTCAACGCCTTAAATACGAAAAAAACCCACCTCGTCGCTGACCTCGCTCAGAACAAAAAACCAAACCTCGTCACCGACGTTGTTTGGGGTCGCTCGACTCTTTTCATGTCAAGCACCCATGCGCAGTTCCCTGCACGATACACCTCCTAGGCACAGCATGAGCACGCATAGCACGCAGCATAAGCTGTGTGATCATCGAGTACAGTGGAACCCTTTCATCCCAGAATTGCTTTGAGGGAAAATCTACATTGTTTTCAGGGTGAAAACCATGGTTTCCTGTAGATGTGTTTCCTTAAAATCCTTTAAACCGGTTCTGGGATTTCAGAGTTCACCACTGAAATGAGCACTAGAAGCACCATGAGCAGAGTCAAAGAGCGACAGGGTGATGATTGCGAAGCTGCTGGAAGTAGCGGTCCCCACATATCAAGGAGGAAAGCAGTAGTCCTGGATAGTCCTGGTACTTCCCGGCAACGAAAGGCCAAAGGCCCCCAACCGAACCAAACCCTGAAGGACAACCCCCAGCAGACATTCAGTATCATTCAGTGCACCAGCAAACAAGGAGCATCAAGGAGCCACATGCGTTTCCCTTGATTGTGATTCATTCTGAAGCCTAGTATCGTCATCAGCCCAGCCCACAAGGACCGAAGCCATTCTTCAAGTCATTCCAACTCAGGATTGGTCCTTCAATCATTCACCTGACATGCCAAATTCCCCCATGTCGACTAAACCTTTCACAGCTCAGGCTTGCTTGTTCTCTTCCGTTTCGCATTCTTCGAGCATGTGGGCAGCTTCGCATGCGATCCATGGCACGGGTCAAAGCCTCCGGTGCACGCGGTTTCGGCTTTTCCCGCGGTCTCGGGCGCACCTGATCTCGTTGGAGCTCGAAGCTCACGATGCTGCCGGTCCGGGGGCCCTGGGCACACCCAGGTGGAGCGCATATGCGGACGCCGGTTTCAGAAGGCACAGGACGCATTTGGTAGAGCAAACATTACCAAAATCGAAGCCCTAATTAGGGATCCCAGTAGCTTCTGAGAAGGTCTGTGGCCAGAAAAAGACCAAATGACTCCAAAACCCGAATCAGAACATGGCATGCCGTTACCATGCTTGATCCGCACGATGAAACGGCGTCAGACATGAAACGGACCTAAACGACCGTTTCAACGAAGAAGCGGGTCGACGGCAGGTCGACCGAAGCAACAGGTGTTTTGAGACCGGTCAACCAATCCCAAGTGGTTTTGACATGGTTACTATCTACCAGGACCTTCCAACAGGTCACTACCTACGACTATTGAAGTCTACAAAAGGCTGGTATACATTAGGCTGACCTGGGGTCAAGGTAGGTAGGTAGGCGTGTGTTCTGGGAATGCTTCCATCGTCGGGGCGGGTCTCGCGTAGCACCCCCGTCCTCCGTCCCCCATCTGTTTTACCCGGATGAAGAGGCGGAGCTTGGGACCCTTTTGACGCAGCCGTTCTTTGGGCCATCTTTGGGGCAGTTCAAACTCACGGAGTTGGGATTCTTAATCTGACGCTTGTCCGTTCTGACGCTTGGAGGTGTTCCATTCCCCTGCAAACATCCTCCCGAGCTCCGCTTCAGGAGCTCGCTTTTGGTGATCCAATCATACCTATCATACCCCAAAGATTAACTTTTGAATGTGAGTGAAAGCCAAGAGGGCTCCATGGTCTCTATGTACTGGCTTTGGGGGGGAAAGGATTGTGGTCATGCGGCCGTAGGGTAATTATCACATCTCTTGTCAAGTTAAATTGCAGGATTTACGTATGATGGTCATGTGAGTCAGGTTTGGTTCTCCGCTTTCCACGCAAACATCTCCGGAAGATGGACAAATACGTCTTGATCTACCCGGTCTGTCTCTCTTTCTCCGCACCCGACTCTACAGGTCTCCGAGTTCTGGTGGCTGGACCTGGCAGTGAGCAACCCTTCTTCTTCATCTAGGTCAGCCGTCCGGTGGTCCAAGTCACCGTCGCCAGCTTGCCATCGAGGAAGTCCTTGAGCTGCTCCTGAAGAACCAAAAGCGCTGCCCTTTTGGGGGTGGCCAGTGAAGGTCTGTGGTCCGTAGTTCGCTGAACCATCTTTGGGCGAAGAGAAAACACCCGTGTCTCCCAGGCACCTTTGGAACAATCATCGTCATCGTGAAACATTCTTTATAGGAAAATGATCAAAACATATCAAAACATGTGTCACCCAGAGACACATCCTGTTCGATCAAGTGGTTGTTCATTGCAACTAACCACTCGTTTTGG